ATAGAAATATATAGGAAAAATCTTCGAAAATCTTCTTCTCAAGAACCACTGGGCCAGAAAAGCTGAAACTCATGTGGAAGCATCCTGGGGTAGTGTAGATTCTAAATTGTTCAAATCATGACCTCCGGGGGAAGGGCGTGGCCACAATGGGGAATCAAAGTTTTACATAGAAATATATAGGAAAAATCTTTGAAAATCTTCTTCTCAAGAACCACTGGACCAGAAAAGCTGAAACTTATGTGGAAGCATCCTGGGTAGTGTAGATTTCAAATTGTGTAAATTATGATCATTGGGCTAGGGTGGGGTCACAATATGTATTACAAGGGGGAAATCTGGTAAAGAACAATACGACAAAAGATTCTCAGGTGAGCGATGTGGCCCATGGGCCTCTTGTTTACCTTGTTTACCCGAGTTCATATCTCTCATAAGAACATGCTCAACATACGAACAATTTTAAAACGAGGTAAATTATTGACAAACAAAGTGAAGAAACAAGATCATCATCAGTCTCATTTAAATCCATCACTTCATAAGTTCTGTGGTCCACACAAAGACCTTGTCAATAAATGCAGTCTATCATTTAGCCAAATACTGAATGACATTTTTCACACTAATTGTTAGTTCATTATTTGCACATTGAATTGTCGACGTCTCAGTTATTTCCCGATCATTACAGGGCTGACGTGTGGTGTGAACGGTCGGCAGTCCAGAGGCTCACTCCATGGCACTTTATCCAAACTCAAATTTTAGAATTCCGTGTTTACTCTGCTCCTGAATTGGATTTTTAAAATGGACTTTGGGCTTGAAAAATGTTTATCTCAATATATGCATATACATGCACATATTGCATTCAATAATATATAGAAGCAATTGCTCCTGCTATGAATGCAATTGCTTAATCACACTCGTGAAGTATAAGCTCTACTACACTTATATATTGTATTGAGAGGTATATGTATGAAATGTTTCGTAAAATGAATAAATATATTAAGTGTATAATAATATTTTTTGGGGGGAAAAACTAATTTCAGAACAATTTAAAATTGCCGATTTGTGTCTTTAAAAATTTTAATTTTGGTCAATGTATTTAATTGTATAATAAAACTTTTTTAAAAATTGAAGAGAACTGCCCTATTTTTATTTTTTCTTGTCATATAATATTTTTGCATATTTGTACAAAGAACGATAACTCTTCACACGTGGGTGATAAAACATTCAGAAAAAGCTAAATTTCTTTTAATTAGTTTGTCTATTTCAAGAACGATTTCAGCTCTTAAAAATAAATAGAAAAACTTTTTAAAATCATAGAAAAACATTTTGGAGTAATAATCATTATAAAAGCATTCTCTTTTTTCATCATAAATTTAAATTATTGATTTTTGTCAGAGGATTTCAATAACATTGATCGATGACGTCACAACTGCATCAAAGCAAAAATTAAAAAAAAATGTGACAACTGTCCAGCTTGTATCCAGATAAATGTGTTTCAAAAGAGGCAAATATTTTATAAAATAAAATAAAATTTGTTTGTGATTTATTAGAGAAAAGGTGCAATAATTAGGTATACTAATTTTATAGCCGTGTGTTTTTCTTTACTGAAGACATGTACAGCAACAAGCCACATCCTTATGTAAGCCAGGATTTTCTCTGATATTCTTGACAACATCAAAGAATGCAAATATAAGTAATAAACAATGATTATCTAATGACATGGCGTTATTAATAGCAATTGCTATTCATAACGCCATGTTCACTAAATAACGTTGTTTATTTCTTAAATAATAATAGTGTATCAACAATGTGATTAACAATAAATAAAGCAGGGTTCTTTAGATTTGGATGCGTTCCATATGGGGTTTGTATTTTCTTTAATTAAAGAATAGTTTAATAAGTAAGAGAAGAGTCAACTCTAGGATGAAAAATATATTTTTAAAAAAAGCCCTGAAGCTAATCATCGCTTTCTCAAATGTACATGATATAAGGCTAGTTTTAACATATAGCCAGAATGAAGTTTGTAGCTGGAAAAAATTGTGTTCTTAAAGCTTCAGATCAGCAATAGTTTTCTTCAGCCATGAAAATCACAAATTAATGTTATTATTTAAAACATCGGTTGGTTTTAAACTGTGTCTTAAACGAGAGTATGATTGCATAATGATGAAAAAATATTAACTACAAGTATATTCATGACATTGAAGATAAATGAAAATGACAAAATTAATCTCAATGAAATAATACTTCTCTTTTTCTTTTAAAAATTTTCAATTAGTATTGACAAAAACTTTGGAATCCTTAATTACCTAACTATAGTTAACTTTGTTTCATACAAGTTTTTTTTTCTATGGGCCTCAAGATTAAATTTTTCCCAAATTACTAAAACTTTTTCGTTAATTAAATATTATTAATTCGTCTTCTTTTCTATATTGAGTTATATACTAAACATATGTTGGTATTTTAACCCTTTGTGTGCTGAGTTGATTTTCAATGAACTGCACTGCAGGACTGAGTTGTTTTGGAGCATTTATAAAATTATAACAGTGGTGTCTTTGACTGTTAATAATTTTAGATTCAGGCAACCTATTTGACTCAAACTTTTCACATATATTCAAGGTATCGAGTACTTTTAATTGACTTCGTTTTTTTAAGATTAAGCTTATTTTACCGTTGCCATGGTAACATTTTTCTTACTAAAAAGAGAAAAATTACATTTTTTGTAAGTTATCATAAATTTCTTTATTAAAACACACCCCTGAGTTATTTAAAAACAGTAAGACTGAATAAAATATATAATATTAGAATATAAACAAGTATAAAATTAATGTAAAATAAATGAGAAAAAAATTATATTGAAGCATTTTCATGTATGTTTTAACACTGCAACTCCATAGAAACCTAAAAAACCTATTGCATGTACTGACCTAGATACATAAAAAAGAACCATGTACTTACTTTCAAATGTTTTAAAAATACTAAACTGGTTAATGTATAGTAATTTAGATTTTTTTCTATAATGTAACTTTCTTTTGTTCAGTGTGTAATTGTATTACCATGGCAACCAAGATAATATAATCATCTAATCTTGAAGATAAAAGAACCACAGTTAATTTTTTAATAATGATAACTATTTACAGAAGGTAATCTTAAATTTGTTCATGCACTAGTCTTCCTCTGACTCTGAGCCTTTTTTAAAATAAGTATTATTGGAGGAATGTAATTTTTTTAATTAGTGGACAAGTATATAAATTTCAATACAATGTATTACTATGCTTAGTTAGTAAAATGTACGTGCTACTTTTTTTAACTGTATAAATCGATACATTGAAAATAATTAATTAATACAGGTTATACATGTAGACATGAAATTAATTGCATATTTTAAAGACATGCAAGCAAGTAAATAAATTAAGTCATTGATAATCATCACAGATAAGTATGAATATCACACAGATTGCTAGATCATGATCATGATCATCACTCTTCGGTGACTTCTGCAGGTTGAAGTCTTTTGTACGCAAGCAAGTAGTCTGACTTTGTATGATAAAGTTCAAAACATGGCTCTACACAAAGTGCCACTTGGCACTGGTTGCACTGGTAGGAGGTTTGCCTTCCAGGTCTTTTTCTTCCCAACTTGGGCTTGCTGTTGGCCTTACAGCAGACAACACAAGATCTACTCAGTGACTTCTGTCTGTCTCTGCAAATTCTCCCCAGGAAGTGTCTGTCCATCAACCTTTCAATTGATCTCCCTCCAGGCCTCCCAGTGACTTTGGTATGAAACTCTAAAGAAAATCATTTTATGCAAGCAATTTTTATGTCTGAAATGAAGCAGAATATACTCTGGCTTAGTAAAGGAGGACTTTTTCAAGCTATGCTTTTTACCATCATTAGACTGAAAGCAATTTTGTGTAAATTACCCCCTGAGCTGTCCAAGAGCTCATGGACCAGCTTTCTTCGAAAGTGTCTGTGAGTAAGTTTGCTCTCTTCCGATGTGTTTTCCTTGTAGAGTGCATATGCATTTGCTATAGACATGGTAATTAGGTGGAAGATAACTTTCTTCCACCACTTCATGGTTTTCATCCCCAGATTTGATGCAGAGACGACCATATCGAGGCGATCAACAGCCCCCACCATGCCGTTGTACTGATGGACAACCTGAGGTCTAATCAGCTCCTCCTCTCGGTGGTTGCGCTTTCCTGTTGCCACTGGTGTTGATTGGCTTACAGTACTTATAAGGTACACAGGCTTGGCATCCATGTATTTAGTAACAGTCAAAGGGCCATTCGACACAACTGACACCTCACCTCGGCTTTCAAGCTGGACCTGAAATTTGTGATTAGCATTTCTATGTGTCACCCAAGTCACTAATTTATAACAGTTTTTCATCATTGCTCCATATTGTATGATATTGTACCCAGAAAGCTTGGAAACACTCTACAATGTCTGTTGTTAGTACAATGTACATGTACCTATGTGTGAATTCATGATGCCTTTTTTTTTTTAAATTAGGGTTTGAGGACTTGACATAGCCTTTGATATTGAAATTTGATGTTATTCTTGAGAATCTAATATCATTCACTTTGAAAAGAAACTTGCAGGTCTTTCAGATGAGACCTAAAAAGACCATGTCACATCATGATTTGGCATGATAAAGATTTATCACTGCTCAAGTAATGATGTTTGTTATTTGAATATATTCAAGTATATTGCTATATCTAGAGAGTGTGCAAGAAAATCTTCCTGAACACATGTAATCACCAATTACTAGTATGTGTAAGGATTTTTCGTGTATATTAAAATGTATCTTTTTCGGGCAAGAAAATGACACTGATGCATGAATTACACAAGGTTCGTATCACAATCTTTTAAATACTGCATTCTAAAAGATATAATTTTTAGACTTGATCATTATGCAGTTAAAAGCATATTGCTAATGATTTATTGTTAGTAAACCTCTTTTATGGCTTCTGGTATCCCACGACGATTTGGGCGAACTGTCCCAGTAGCACCTACACCAAGACACCAAAGGTCCATGAAGAGGGACTGGCATAGTAATTATCGCAGTATAGTATATGTCCACATGCATAATCGTTGCGGAGCAAGTCCATCACCAAATCATGGGTGGCACCTTTCTCACTGGGTGGTGTAGTAGGTTTACCCGTGTAAAGCTTCATTTTCAGGCAATACGCATTCACTGCATCGCAAAGGATGTAAGCTTTCAGGCCGTACTTGTCTGGCTTGTCAGGATACGCGGAAATGAAGATTTCCCCGCCATGGGACCATTCCCTCGTCAATGCATAGATTCTGATGAGGTTGGTAAACCGAGTCAAACCTATATTGAAGAATTCAACTTACCAGTTATACCTAAATATGCATGTTGTTTACTTGTATGGGGGTATTTCAACTGGATATATATAAGTATATATCTGTATTAGTCGGTAGAGCACCTGACTAGTGATACAGGGGTCCCAGGTTCGATTTCTGGTCCAGCCATACATTTTAACCATTCCTATTACATATTTACCTAGCCTTGTTTAATGTCAAAATTAAACTTCAACCAAATCTTGCATATCTAATGGTGATAGGGGCATATTTATATAGGCCTCTTGTTTGTGCATAAGTCAATTTGAAAGTATTTATTTTCAGGAAGTTCATTTCCTAGCTATTAGATGTTTATTCATTCATTATTTAGATATGCATACTATTAAACAGGCCTACTCCAAATGAATTGTAATTTTCAGAGATTTACCCTTAGTGGACTGGATCATGGCATATTTTTATACAGAAATAAAGTCAGATATGTTTTTCACACACATTTCCTTTGGTGAAAATTCATATGTTTGAGCTCTTGCCTCACATGTGGATATTAGCTTAGCCATTGGTAACTTACTGATCTTATATCATGTTATATACAAAAGGTACATTTGAACTTAAATGTCTGTAAAAGCAAAACCATCAATTTAAAAGTGTACTTCATAGTTTGTAAGAAAAAAGTTTTTAACTTCAAGTTCATAATCGTGACAATGAAAAGCATAAAGTATTTACAAATCTATTTTCACAAGCCATTATATAGTGAACCCTACACATGTACATACCTATACAAAATCTTCTTATACAAGGGACCAAGTTTATATAAAGGGTCATAACCCTCCTGTCCACGTGGCACACAATACAGGTTATCATTTAGATGGAAGAAGGCCATAAGTGACAAAAACCTGTCTCGGGGCATGACGCTGGGGAAGAATGGAGTAGATGTAATGGGATCTAATGTCCAATACTCCTTCACATCCAGCTGTCTCACAAGTCCCATAGCAAGCACCAGAGCAATGAACTGCTTCATTTCGGACTTGGTGGTGTCATGCCATTTCTGGTGCCTGCTATTTGGTTTCAGGTGAGAAGAACCGATATACTGTTGAGCATAAAGATTTGTCTGCTCGGCCATGAACTCATAATCAGGGTCTGAGAGAAACAACTTGAAGTACTCCATTGGTGATGTTTCATTTTGGACGGTTTGTCTCATGCCCGCAACCTTTGTAAAGTTTAGTTGGGGAGGTTCACGGTCCCCAGCAGTCCAGTTATCAGCATCTATGTAGTTTTCAAAATTTTCAGTGGGATTATCCACCACGTCATCTAAACTAAAACCTTCAAATTCGTCTCCACTGGCATCATCCGCTATAAACTCATCCAGAAATTCTCCAAAATCAAAATTTCCCTCTGTAGCCATATCGATATCCGTGTTGGAAATATCGATACGTATACCGTATACATAGCAACTTCATAAGCAACATATTTCTTTTCGTTTTATGTCATTAAATATAAATAACTTGTTACATAACACCCCAAGTGATGATTCATAAGATATTATACAGAACTCAATGATATTTTTATTGTAAAAGTAATTTTATTACAAAATATTCCATGAAATTGCATGTAAACATTGGAAAGACGACAACGTGATTCAATTGTAGGCACGATTTGTCTCGTGAAGTTTTGACAAAACTAAAATATTGGACATTTTTGTCTACTCACAAGTTAAAGTAATCCATTGCATTCAATATAATTCACATTAAACAAAAATACAATATGTGCGAGTCTTATAAACACTTGTATAAACGGTATCACTAAATAATAGTCAAACTTTCGTTTTTAACCGGAAGAACATGACAAGGTGAAGGTTAGGCTCAGGTCTCGCTACTCGTGTGTTATTTACTTTCTAGTGCAAGTATACATTTAGGTAAACTTCTAAATTTTATACACTTCTGTGTGTTCGAAAATATGCCATTCTTCAATTCAATACATGTTAATCGGCTTATTTCTTCAATAACTAATTTTTATCAGTGTTTGCATTTATGGTAATTCCAGGACTTCTCGCTGCGTTAAAAATGGTTGTCTGAAATCGATCGTAATGTTTCTTTTATTGCTAGCTTACTTTTAAAATGTATTTTTTTTTAATTGTTAAGTTACAAAAACAGTAATTACATGTAACAATATATTATAATGACTTATTAATAAAAATAATTTCGTTAATATAAGAATGCGAGCTCAATATGAAGTTATATATAAAAACGTGTAACTTCACCAACCAAAACCCAATATATTGGGTTCCCGCACGCAAGCGATTATGACGTCAGACCCAATATATTGGGTTCCCGCACACAAAGGGTTAAAACAAATTTACATTTACGATTTTTAAGGATCTTTTTTTGTTGTTTCTTAAATTCAGAAGCAAAGACTTGGTGTTATTAAAGATCATTTGTAAAATCCTTCAATTTTTGAAAGGAATGAGAACACACAGTTTTTAATTTTATTTGAGATTTAATCTTTGATTTCTGTAATCTACAAGATGCTCGTAATTCCATTCGTCGTACCAGCGACAGCTGCCATTTTCATATTCGTCACAATTAACTCGAGGTGTTCCAGGCGCACGCGCAGGAAGATCTGGTTCCGGCGGACGCTTACCAAGGGAATAGAAATTCTTGTAGTAATACCTGACATAAAAAAATGAATGTTTTAGGATTGACCAATAATTTCCTCTTAGATATATTCTTTATCCATTTCTTTTTAGGAAGGTAGTAATGGTAATGTCGGACTAAAGTTAATCAGTAACACTCTATTTTTGTATAGCCTGATGTTAACATTCGTATTTTTTATTATAAATATATCATGCCCTAGTCTAGTAGTTGAAATTCGACGTCAAGCATGATTTTGTCGCCATGTATTCACATAAAACAAGTAATCCAGAACTCACCATCTCTGTATAATGTATTTGTGACCTTTGTTGACCACTGCAGCATTGTGTACGGACATTGGTTCACATTTACCCTCTTCATTCATGTTGTTCCAGATCAGAGCACGTCCCTTTCGGGGTTTCACCCAAATACCCAGTTCTGTTATATTAAATAGTTATTAAAGTAAATTTAAATTGCTCAAACTAAATACATGTAAGTATAGGCGTTCATGGAGTCATAATTTAAATGTCGATAATTACCATTGTCCTCTACAAAAATTTGAATTTTTCAATTATACAAATTTTAATTGAAAAATTCAAATTTTTGTAGAGGACACCATTTTACTAATGTGCTTTATGTTTATAAAACGATTGTGAGTTTCGAACCGATATCATCCGTTTCTCTGGGATTTTTTTCTTGTACACACTTTTTCAACAAAAATGTAACGTTTGTGTATTAAAAACGGAAGAAAAATTAAACCCTAACAATAGCACACAGAATATATAGTAAATAATTGTCTTTCTTTATTAACTTGTACCTGGGAATTTCGTTTCGCCCCCATCCTCCACGTCCTGAAGGTAGACCAGTATGGTAGCCATTCTGTCTCTCTCATCCACGTTATCCTCCACACAATCCGTATGAGTCTTGTATCCTTCAATGTTGGGACAGCAAAGGAATAAGATTCACAGAGTGACTGAACCTTTATATTCTTATCTTTGGCATAAGAAAAGTATTGTTGATTTTATTAAACGAAAGAAGGCAGTGTAAAACTTTTACTAAGTTCTACGATTACTTCTAAGAAAGGTAAGTGCATTTTCGAGGGCTTTACAATTCTATTTACGACAATGATTCAAATGAAAAAAATTACTATAAAACTATGCTGAGTAGGGAAATAATTTTAATTAATAAATAGAATTCAAATAAGATCAGAATAATAGAATAATATCATCGTTTAGGATAACAATGTACCTATTCCTTCTGGATAACTTGTAATTTGAAATTTCCCGCCATTTTCTGGTAAGAGTTGCGTCGCTTCTTTGACTCGATATTCAAAAACCTTCGAGAATCTACTTTCGCCCGGATAAAATGCTGTACTATAGCTCCAGTTAGACTTTAACCATCCAGAGAGCTGTCTAGAAAATGTTTCATTGACACAAAAGGTACCTGAAAATTCAACAACTAGCAGTTGAATAGGTATATCAATAACTTAAGTTGTGAAAAAATTCATGATCATGATTTTATGATGAGTTTATGATTTGTAATCATGTCACCCTAAAAAGTCCATCTATAATCATGTTCGTATGAATTCTCATTGATTGCTTAGTAAACCTTAATGAAATTTTACAGTAATAAAAATCCTAAAAAGTGGTCGTTCACAAAACATTCAAATATTATTGTCATTGCTATGAAAACGAAGGTTGATTAGGGTTAATAAAAGACGCTTCAAAAAGCACATTTGTATCCTTCATTATTTAAGTCATAGCTGCAGGGGTTTCACAACCTTATTCGACAAACGAAAAATGCTTGGACAGACAAAAATTTAGCTCACCTGGTATAAAATCAGCAGGAGTGACCTTGACCCTTTTGTGGGCGGCCTTGAGATGTTTTCTCAGTGTTTCTATGGTGTCAAAGCAAATCAGGGGATTTATTTTGGAGGATTCCTTTACATGACTATCGTGGGCTTTCATCAGTCCATCACATTCTTGTTCAGATAAAAATTCGTCGTAAAGAAATACCCTAAAGCCAAAACAGAGGGAATGATGAGTACTTTTTGATTATTTTTCTATTTGTACTGGTCAAGATTTAAATGATGATTTATATGCTTTGTATTAAAAAGATATTTTTTATCTTTTGGTTACTGTACATGTATACGGTGTTTTTATTGATTTTTTTTTTTGTTGTTGCCCTTTTACACTTTCAAACAATTTTGCCCAGTTTGAAATTCGTCTTACATTGAATAGAACAAAAGCGGGCAAAAAACGGGGCGAGAATTTCCCTGTATACAGTATTTGTGAGTTTTCTGCTGTTGTGATATAAAGGAGTATTTGATTAACTGTACCTAACACTGCTGTTGTGATATAAAGGAGTGTTCGATTAGCGGTACCTGACACTGCTGTTGTTTGGTTTCTGTGGTAATAACTCCACAGGCGGAAGCCGCCGGCCGTCGGCGAATATTTTTTTCGGGGTCATCTTCTTCAGATACGTTGGTTTGAAGTTTTCCGCCTCTGTTTTTAAATCCTTAACTCCATTTTCCTTCTTCTTAGATTGCTTTTTCGTAGTTTTAGTGGACGTTTGGCTATTTTGGTTCGTTGTCGATGACTGACTTTGTGAAACTTTGGACGGTGCAGTTTTCACTTCCTTCTGTACGGGCGGTATTGTATGCACTGAAGGATCCTTCCCATTTCCGTTTTGTTCGGAGTGTTCCTCTTTAGGTTTTTCCGCATTCGTTCGTACGGCTTCATCAGAGTCTTCAGATTCTAACTCAACAAAACTGTCTTCACTTTTAATTTTATGAGTATCGCTTGTGCTTACACTGTCATTGTTCTTTGAACTGTTCAAAATATACAACCCATATACAAGTAAACCAATCGTGAATACAGCAAACAATGTCCGGAATACATACAGTTCTAAGCTTATCCCATTTTTACAGGCGTTTTCTTTTACTATGTGAGTGTCTCTGTTTTCTTTGGTATTTTTATTGATTCCATTTTTGTCTCCGCTTATTTTTGAATTTCTTTGGCGAGCTTTATTTTTCATACTCGATTAAATAAAGGCGCGGGTTCTCTTCACTGGTAATTCAAAGGTTTTGCATACCCTGGAAAAAAGATAAAGCTAGTATGTTGGCTTTAAAAATTCAAAGGTAAAGATACACGTATGACTATCATGATTGAGGATTTTACTTTGTTTTCAATATATTTCGGTATGAATTCAATATTATAATGAAGACAGAGGGGGATCTGGATTATTTCACCAATTAACAGTTTTACAAGAATAATAATCATTCAGCAGAAGCTATTCCTTTAGAATATCTACAGCGCTAGCGAAGACAAATGTTACTGTTATTGGTTAACGCATATAAAATATGAGTTTATATTTACGTTTCTCCGCTAATTTTGTTAAAGGAAACAGTATAGGAATTTTAAATAATTTTAATATTAACATACAGCAAGTTTTTTCACTATGCAGGTTTTTGATCAGTATACCTGAAAAATTTAATTTGAACAACTCTAGATCCAGGGTAGCTTTTTAAAACCGGAGTTTATTACATGTGTACAAAAAAAATAAGAAACGTGAAAAGGGACAATATATAAAGGTTAAGGGGCTATAATACACATTAAGTAAATGTATATTGAATAGTTACTCAACCAAATATTCGCAAATGAAACAAACATTAGTTTTAAAGGTCCTTTTAACTATAGCCATATATGCTATATATAGATTTTCGATGCTCATTCAACAAAGCAATATACAGAAAGGAAATTGAATACACACTGTTCCGGCTTCCAGTTCCGGTTAAATGAACACGATGTATCTTTAGGGTATACAGTGTATCGAATACAGTTTCGACACAGGGACTCTCGTCACATAGAGAAAATGGACAATTTTCATTCTATATTATTGCCTTCAAAATAAACACTATCATTTAATGCCTCTGTACTGATTATATGAAATCCCGTGATAGTACAAGATACTTATCAGGGTTAGTAAGATAGTAACACTAGTGTGGTAGGCGTATATTTACAATTTTCTCTGTAAATAAAACTATTAGTGAAAACAAAACAAAATTAGTCTACAGTTAAAAGACAAAAATTTCAGCACAGTGTACACAAGTTTTCAATGATCAGCTGATGTGAAGGAAATTAAAACATTAGGTACTTACCGACCACATCCAGCTCTGTGTAATCTACGGAAGCCTGTTCTTGTCAGACAGCTCAAGACGCACCGGATAATCAGTGAGATAACCAGTCATTTTAACCCCAGGTTTAATCCATTTTGTCATGTACGTGTGTATGTGTGTGACGACTATAAATGATACTTGTATGAATAAAGTTATATTAATGTGTGTAAGAAAAAATCAACAAGGATCATCAAAGTTGACAAGGAAGTTTAAAAAATTAATTTTTGACTGGAGACTGAAATTTGCATATACATATAATAATCCGTGTAAGTATATGTCATGTGTTACTGATTTTAGATCGGTTTTGGATCCCCTCCCCATATTTCATGGAATTTTTTATCTGCAAAGAGTAGCTTTTTTGAAATTTCATTAGTGAAAGAGAAATTGGATAGTCTGCTAGAATGCAAATATACTCAGAGCCAAAGAAGAAAACTTATATACGACATGACATAAACATATCCATCATTGTTCAATTTACAAAGGCATTGTCCCTTTGTTGAAGTAATTTCTAAAGATATTTTAGATGTTGCTATAAAATGGACAAATCCCGCAACAAAAATCATATTGCTACAAGCTTGCAGCAAATTCGCAAAACTGTGTGGGAACATTGGCTTTGCCATGGTTTCTTTGACGTCATTGCAGCAAGCTTATATCAATGGCTGCTGCTGCAGCAAGTTCCTCATTCCCAACGAAAAAGATTTCTTTCAGGTTTGAGCAGGATGTTTGCCTTTGCTTGTCAAAAACTTGATCCGTGCCTGCAAATTTCCACTCAAGTTAATTTAATGTATTATCTATGTGATAAGAACTGAAGGAATTAAGTGAATATAGTGAACGCAAAAAATCATCAAAAAAACATTTTAATCAACATTTTAATTAAGAATTGTGCGGGAACATCGACTTTGTCTTAAACATAAAGAGATTCTTTTAAAAATTCAGATACCTGTACTGACATCATTTAAACAAATGTGGTAGATTTTCTCTATAGTTAACAGATTAAATCAATACAAAGGCTTTCTGCGAACTTGTTTCTTGTAGGCAGAAATGTTCCAACATAATTGTTTGCGGTAAGGTTACACCATATTTGGAAAACCCTATATTTGTTGCATACTTGCAGCAAGCCTCGTTTTCATTGTAATTGTTTTGCTGCAAGCTTGCTGCATACTTACCGCAAATGTGCTGCAACTCAAAGACTTTGTATAGGACTATAGGTCGCCATGGTTTCTTTGACGTCATTGCAGCAAGCTTATAGCAATGTCTGCAGCTGCTGCAAGTTCCTCATTTCCAACGAAAAAGATTTCTTTCAGGTTTGAGCAGGTTGTTTACCTTTGCTTGTCAAAAACTTGATCCGTGCCTGTAACCCCACTCAGGTTGATTTAATGTTTTATCTATGTGATAAGAACTGAAGGTATTTCGTGTAAATATTAACCTGCAGATAAAATCACAAATAATACAATCAAATCTTACGATCAACTTTAATTTGTGGGATTCTTTATATTTGATAATGAGTGATCAATATCAGAACATTGAATTCTATCGTTAATGAGACTGCCATCGATATGAAAGACTTATCTGAAAAGAGAAATTGAAAAAAAAAATTGAATCGGATCCCAAAAGAATTAAAACAACGTCAATTTTTAAATGAAAAAAAATCTTATTTCTTTTTTTTTTCTGGATTTTCCTCTTAATTTATAGAAATCATCATATGAAAATATCTTTAAGTTACTTGACATTAATTAATTTATCCTCACCTTATCGTCCTCTGATCTTCATCTTTTTCATAAGTCTGACCAATCATTTCAGGTATTTCCAAGTGACATAAAAATTGAAAATTAGTATCTCGTGACATGACGTAGAGAAAACATATATTTTTTTTTCATTTATATTTTTATCTGAAGTAGGTATTGGAAAACTATATGACTTTCAAATCCAAATTAAAAAGCAAATACTGTTTTAATTAAAAAAAACTTATCTTAATTCAAATGTAAATCTGAAAAAAAACTGTAACTTTTGAGTGGCTTCTAAACTGCGAATATGTATGCATTATATTATACAGTTATTGACTGGGTATGAGGGCAACATATGATTTGTTGGACCTGAAGGTGAAAATGTTGCCCGAGGCCGCAGGCCAAGGGCAACATTTTCACCTTCAGGTCCAACAAATCATATGTTGCCCGAATCCCAGTCTATAACTGTTTTATTATACCCTTCACTGCTCACTTGAGAGTGATCAATTTAATCATTACACGCTATATTATCAATTATTTTGTATGGAAAATTATGGCTTCTTCAGTAAATATAAATCATCAAGCTGAGAAAGAAAAAAATCAATTATATATCTATTGTATCACAAAAATTATTTATCACAAAATATACTCTTCCTTCTTCCCTACCTAGCTGTTAGCAACAACTCTTGTAGCTCTTAACTTCGGCTATTTTCACGTCGCCGATATTTCACGATGATTAATTAATTATTGTGACGTAACAGACGAGTGACGTTGCGGTCTAACAATTCTTATGTAAGACCGGTCAATAGTGAAATTGTTAGACCGACGTAATAAACAGTTCTTTTGTTGGACTTTTTATAAGTAATAAATATATAGAATGATATTTATAAGGGTATAACAAATGTATGTGATTGATATTTGAAATGGTTTCCATGTCGTTCTTTAAAATGCTAATTACATGTACACTGCATTCATCACCATTTTCAGAACTAAAAAAAAATCAGAAATAAAGGTTTTCTGTTATGCAAGAAATGCTAGCCTACGCGTAAACTACAGTCTTAAATTTTAAAAAAATGTTTAAGGCAATATAATTTATATCATATACATATCGCATTTTAATAAAAAGTCAAATTTTGAAGGGACAAATTTTAAAACTGTAGAGTGAGGTATATATATATGACAATAAAAGAAATGACACACCCTCGAGACATAAAGAGGGGGAAATATTATATAATCAGGTATTGGTTTTTTAGACTTGATTTTATACACATGGTTCTGCATAAATTTCTGTTTTAGATGTTAAAAAACGAAATCATTCAAGAGACATCATTTAAATTCTAATCAAGATAATAGCAGAACGTTATCAATTATTCACACAGATTTATATAACGTGACGTCTCAATGAGATTAAGCGACGTTAGAAATCAAAGTACCGAAAGTACTGATGGGAGTTGATTTTAATGAAGGCACCATAAATTGTACACGACTTTTCAAATAATGTAACATTAATGCTTCAAATTCAGTATGCAAGAAACAAACAATAAAAAATTGTAATAAAAGGGTTATTACACAGGTGAAAATCACATTCTAAGACATAATGTAGAAAAACAAGGAAATTCAAAAAATTGTGGTCCCTAGGTCTTTGTGGGTGAGATGTCATTATTTATTACATATTATGCCAAATATGAACGCCCTATCATATGTCATTCAAAAGTTATCACCAAAGTTGATTCTTTTTAAAGTTAGGCCAAACATGAAGGTCAAGGTTAAGGGGTCAGAAATTATCGCATACTCGAAAGCAAAAATGTAACCTTCACCTGGGACAGTTTATTAAGTTAACAATAGAGAAAATGTTTTAAGTACATGTAGGAGAAAGTCATCAAACTGCCCATTCTGTGAGAGAAAAAAAAATATTCTCGGCCCTTCGAAATTCGGGGAGTCTAACAGTTCTTGCTCTCACAGAATGGACAGTTTTCGGACTTTCTCCTTTATGTAACGTTTTTGCTATGATTACATATCACACTTGATTGTCCAAAGAGTAGGGTGAAAACAAAAGGGATGAAAATATAGCTGTATTGTTTAACTTAATAGAAAGTGTCAGATAAATTAAAGCCGATTCTAATCGCTAAAAAAAATATATTCGTTTTTCTTCTTGAAAAATAATTGTCCATAAATTATTTCAACTTTTGTCAAATTATCCCCAAAGTCTTTTTCTTTTTAAAGATATCAAAATTCAAAAGTTAAAAAAACAATTTTTGTTAGGTCACACAAAAAATAATTCTTTGTTTATATTGCGTGAAATCACCTTCGAAAAATATTAAATTTATCGCTTACATGTATAACTTATGAAGAACAAATCCGAGCATTTTTTCCACAACAAAGTGTACACGGGCAATATTCTAGCACTCGTTACTAAACTCCCTTTTTAAAAAATCTTTTAAAAAAATATCTGATTATCCTTTATTCTGTAAATATGCATATTAATATAAAAATTACTATGGATTATATTCAGTTAATTTCTTAATTTTTAAAAGATATATCATGACTTAGGATTCTATTAATGGAAAAAAAACACTCGGGTTTGAATTCTCTTCATAATTAGATATAACCGATAAAAGTATTTTTTTCAAAGGTGAATTCAAAACAGATCTTAACTTCCAGTCAGGAACTGCTGTTTGTCAACAAGGTTTTTGGTCTATGTTTTCCATGTACGGATTGTTGTAATAAACTATTAAATCAATCTTATAATTAATTTTTATATATTACCTATGTAATGACATACTTTTCTTGTTTAAGATACTATGTGCCTGTTTCGGGTGAAGCGGCTTTAAGATTTAAATGATAGCTCACTTGATTTCTGACTACTTCCCATGTAAAGCTTCATGAGTGAAGA